GGTTCCCTTCCTTCCACAGGGCTCAGGCTGCTCACACCTCTAGGAGGGACACAGGCCGTCTGTCAAGCGGTCCCCTGGCTCACACACCCGCGTGGGCACCTGGTGCGGGCACCTGCGTGTGCCGCCCCGGCCGTGGCTCAGGAGGGAACCCCCCTCCCCCACCAAAGGCAGTGAGGCTGCCCTTCTCGCTGGATGTTACAGTCAACACTGGCCTCCTTAGCTAAGCGCTCATATGACTAAGAACTGCTTTATGTTTTACTTTAAATGTTGCCCGCTGCTTTTTATGTAGAGGGGACAACCTAGTTTTTCCCAGATGGACAGCGGAGTCTGCATCAGTCACTTGTTAGATAAATGATACCCCCGCCAGTCCAAAGGGCCCCTTGCTCATGTCAGTTCCCACCACCGTGGGGCCCGCTTGGGGCTGCTCCGTGCTGTCCCCCCGTTTACGCCGTGGCTCAGCCTACTGAGTGTCAGGCTCTGGGAAACCAGCCTCCTTCCTGCGAGGACGTCATGAGGTGACTTAGAGCAACGTCTAGCCAACACCAGCCCAGCACCAGCACCAGCCCAGCTCCAGCACCAGCCCAGCACCAGCACCAGCACCAGCCCAGCACCAGCTCCAGCACCAGCCCAGCACCAGCCCAGCACCAGCACCAGCTCCAGCACCAGCACCAGCCCAGCACCAGCAGACCAGGAAGTGACGGCTCTCTCTCTCCCAAGCTCAGGAAACCATAAAAGGAAGGATGGAAGCCGATCTAAATGTTGCTTCTACACAGTCGTTTCAGAACTGCCAGGGGTCAGATGGCGCAGAAAGCAAACACTCCAGTCAACACTGTGGGGAGGGTGCTCATCCCCAGCGTGTACACCCGAGTGTTAGGTCAGAGGCCACTTAACACCCATGGGCATCCCCACGTGTTTCATTTCTTCAGGGATCACTCCTCCTCCATCCCTGCCTGCCCCTCCATCCCTGCCCCCTCCATCCCTGCCTGCCCTCCTCTGTCCCTGCCTGCCCTCCTCTGTCCCCACCTGCCCTCTCCATGCCTGCCTGCCATTCTGAAAGAAGGCCTATCTCCCACTGGTGACTGTTAGAAGCACCAGGTGACCTGTCAATGGCTCTGAGGCCAGAGCTGCAGGACCTGGGTCTGGGGGGTCAGGATGGCCCAGCATCCTTGGTCTCACCGATCAGCTCGCATCTTTTCTGAGACTAGAGACCGTTAACCCGATGATCATGGCTTGGTTTCTGAGTCTCTCCAGCAATTTACATTTAGAAAAACCACCTTAAAGCGCTACTTATGCATTCACTCCTTCAAGTCCAGGGTTTATTTTTATAAGGACAAGTTTTCATGGGAATTTTACATGATTTTATACTTAAAGAAAACTCTTGAATTTAAAACATTTACTTTTGAACCAGTATAAGCTACCAGAATAACCTGAAGAGAGGGCAAGGGGGTTACTTTGTAAAATGTAAACTTTGCATGTGGAATCAGGATTTATTTCATGACTTTCATTTTCCTTCTTTCTCCCCAATAAAATGCGCACCTTCTTGTCCAGCCAGTGTGGCTCCGTGGTTGAGAGCTGGCCTAAGAACCAGAAGGTCACGGTTCGATTCCTGGTCAGGGCACATGCCCAGGTTGCGGGCTGGATCCCTAGTAGGGGGCGTGCAGGGGGCAGCCCATCAGTGGTTCTCTCTCATCGCTGATGTTTCTATCTCTATCCCTCTCTTCCTCTCTGAAATCAATTAAAATATATTTTTTAAACATGTGCACTTCCTCAGGTTAAGCCCGTCAGAAGCTCACCCATTCGGGGAGGCTCCTTTAAGACCGGAGGCTGTGCTCTGACCACCTGGAGCGCTCAGGCCACAGCAGTGACCAGGGAGGAGCTGTCCTTGGGCTCCCAGGACAGCAGAAGCCTCTGGCTTGCGTCCTGCACACTGTGAACTGCTCTCCTTCCGGCAGGACAGGCAGGGGCACCGTGGGGTCACGTCCGGGGCCTCTGGGACCTGTCAGAGCCTGAGCCCCGCCCCCACCTCCCGCAGCCAATCCTTCACGATCAGGAAGCAACAGCATCTGCCCATGAGCCAGGCCTGCCTTTCCCCTCCGGAGGCTCAGCCTTTGGTCCCTCACTGTCCAGCACCCCGACCAGCAGGCTGCAGAGGCAGAGCTGACACCTTTGCCCAGTGGGGGCCCGGAGGGAGTGTGGGGAGCGAGGAACAGAGGAACCCGAGCCGCTCCTGGCGAAATGCAGTGCGTAGACCGCACGGCACACAGCTTCCTGCGCCTCCATTCCCGTGGAGCTCCCTCTCCAAGGTGACCGGAACCCCGCCTACTCTCAGGACAGGAGAATCGGCCTGTAAGGTCAGAAAGACTTGGGAATTCTACACAAGTCGTCCTTGAAAAGTGCTTAGAAAAACTGCTGTAACCGCATTCCTTTCCAAAATATGACAATTTTCCATTTCAGTGAAATGGATGCAGCACAAACATGTTGGAAGGTAGGGTTCTGTCCCTACTTATGTGGAGAGGAAGGGTGGCATTATTATTAAGGGAGTGAAGTTAGAAGAGGGTAGTACGTGTGCAGTTCATGGCTTCATGGCTTAGAATGTCCAAGTTCAGTGATCCAACCTCATAGGATGAAAATGGGGAAAATCAGGGAGATCAAACAGGAACCAAGCCCTGGTGCATCTGCTCCGATGGTTCCTTCTCACGGGGTGGCAGCAGGGACACACCCTCAGGGACAGAGACCCACCCCACCCCGGCCGGCCGGTGCTGCTTGGTGAGGAGGAGGTCGGTGCTCAGAGGAAGGGCAACTGAACCGGGAAAACAGAGATTCTGGGCGAGAGGAGACAAGGGAGACGCAGTGATGCGCGGCTCCGCCCTGAGGCTGGGGCGGGTGGCGCTCGCCTGGTCCTGGTCCTGGTCCTGGTCCGAGCCCCACGCTGAGCGAGGGCCACACGGCCCTCCCACAGCGGCTCCTCTCCCATCTCGCTGGGCTGGCTCAGGCTGTGCCTCTCACCTGGCCCTCCTCCCCGTGACCTCTGCCGACCGACGGACTGTCACCTCTCTCCTCCAACAGCGCCTGCACCCCCTTCTCTTGGGCACTCCGCACCCGCTGGATGTCACTTTAAATCTGGTCAGAGCCCACGGGGGCCCCCACATCTATCGCTCCCAGCTCCCACCGCAGCAAGGTCCACGAAGCCCCGCCCACTCCCCTCGCCTCCGGCTCCTCAGTTCTGCCCCAGGTGCCCGCACACTCCGCTCCTTTCCGCTGTGAGTCCCGTTTCTAGCTGCTTCCTGAGGAGGCCTCTCCCTTCCCATCCATGTGGACACACGCGTGGCATGTCCTCCCGCACGGCCCTCAGCGCCTCATGCCGTCCCGCCTCACTGCTGCTACCGCTCGGCCTCCACGCCCGCGGCCTGGTGTACATCCCGCTCCCACGTGTGTGCCCGCATCATGGGCAGAGCTCTCCCTCCTCTGCTGTCCCCTGTGAGGAGAGTCCGCCACCTCCCACATCGGCCCTGCGCTTCTCAGCAATCACCCTTTCAGTCCGAAACCTCAAAGTCTTGTCTTGGCTGCTCTATCCAATCGCCTGTCACATTCTGGTCTTGCAGTTGTCTGTCTGTTGCCAGTTCTTTCCATCTCTCTGGACACCACCGAGCTCACACCTGACCCATCAGGACTGCGTCCCTGTGATGGTCTCTGGGTGCATGTCCCTCACTGTTTTGCTTCCTTGTCTAGCACCACATTTACAGCCATGATCTCATCTGCCCGTTTCCACCATGGAGAATCCAGACAGCAGCCGTGTGTGTGCGTGTGTGTGTGTGTATGGGGGGGGGGACGTGCACACAGAGACACTGCAGCTGTGCAGGGGCAGAAGGGCAGTCACAACCACCTCTCTCCAGCAGCCCATCTCCTGGTCCCGAGGGCAGCGCCCTCTGTGTCTAGAACGTGGCAGACAGGAGCGCTCCCCCTGTGGGTGCTCACTGTCTACAGAAGCAGCCCCACCACACACTCTTCCGAAGCTGCTGCTTTTCATGTGCCCAAACCACAGCCACCTCTCCAGGTAAGTGCCCGTGTTAAGCTCCTTTTCTGAATGGATATGTGCCACTCCCCAGAACGCACACATTGTAACCTACTGAGCCATTCCTGTAAATCCCCTACTCATGGATTTCAGGTTGTTTTAGTTCATGTATTTGCTTTCTCCCACTGTACAAAGGTGCCATAAATGTCACACACGTTACACGTATTTCCATATTACGTTTTTAGAATGACACTGTCACTGCTGTTAGACAGGTGAAAATGCTGCATTCTTAGTAACGCATGATTCTGCCCATTTGCACAGTGCCCATCACCAACAGGTCCCACAGGTGTTTACCGCTGCGAGAGGGACCCCCGCCCCCCGGTCACTGCTTCATTGCTCTGCCTGAGTATGAGATGGTTAAACGTATTTTCTTTTGGGCCTCTTGCATGTCCTCTGCTGTGAAGTTATTATTTCCACCTTTGCTTATTTCTTTTAAAAAAGTCCTCATTAATTTGAAATAGCTCTTTGTGTATTAATGTATTAATCTAACCCCCTTGCTCATCTTATCTGTGGCAGATATTTTCTGCTAGCCTTTTTTCCCTTACTTTGCTGTGGTAATTTTCTCCGTATATAACTAAACAATGTAGGTCAGCCAGCAAGCAGTCATGACCCCTGCAGGTGCATCCCTGGGCTGTCCCCGTTCTGTCCACCCAGAGCTGTGTGCTCCCACCCAACCCACAGCGAGGTGCCTTCCCTAACTGGCAGCTGCCTCTGCCTGACCTGCCCACCCCTCAGGGGACACGAACAATAAAGAGACCACACGAGCGCGAGGAGAGAACTGCCCGGAACAACGGCACCTGCTGCTCTCCGACCTGGGCAGGCAGGTCCCCGAGACGCTTCTGAGACCGTCTGGTCTGTGTTAGCATTTCCACCCTAACGTCCCCCTCTCTGAGATTTTGATGAAATGTTAGTAAGAAAATAAAATTCAAAGACTCAAATATGTTTTGACATAGAAAACTATTAATAGAACTGGACATTTATATCTATTTAAATTATCCTTGTGACTGTCTAGTTCATTTTTTAAATTCAGTGTTTTAAAATATGTTTTACTTATTTTTTAAGGGGCAGACAGTACCATAAGAATAAAGAACAGAAACACTGTAGAAGCTATGTCTGCAGGCGATAACACGTATAATCTGTGAGCTCCGTTTATGGCCACTGGAGATAAAATACAATATCCACAGAGGAAGGGCTACCCGAAGGGTCGGAAGAGACCCTGAAGGACCAGCGTGGACCAGAAGGCAGAGAGGAGCGAGTGCCCGAAGGTGGCGGCAGGGGGGAAGGAGCATGAGGTGGGATGACAGGGTTCTGAAGGGGACACCGGATGCAACACGGCCTCCCTGGGAAGTGGTCAAGCCTATAGGTGACACTGTCTAGCTGGGTCCACCCACCAGGTGGTGGGGTGTGAGGCTGAATGACCCTCAAACCCCTCCTGCCCCTCTTTGTCTGAATTCGGGTCATGAATGAGATCAAAGGGGAATTTTTGGAGTTTCAGGAGGAAGGTAAGATGACAGACACACCTCCGCAGACTGCAGTGGACGGGTGCTGCCCAGGACTGGCCCCAAAGGGGCAGAGACAGGTAAGAGCTTGCGGGGAAGAGAGAAAGCCGCCCTCTCCTCTTCCACCTGCAGGCAGGTGGGTGCCCATCACAGAGGGAGAGGCAGCAGCCGTCAAAGAGAAGGGCAGGGAAGGCCCTCCTGGTGGCAGCCGAGGAGGAGGAAAAGCAGAGGCCCCGAGATAAGGGGGAAGACGGCGGGAAGGGGAGGGTGCAGAGGTCAGGGGGCAGCAGCTGTGGCTCCGTAAGGAAGCAGCCTGACAGGTGATCCAGACCAGACGTCGACCTGTGTCAGGACCTGTGAGCACCGGGCAGGCCTCACATGCGCACAGGGCACACCGGCTCGCTGTGCAGACGGGCGGTGCCGCGTAGGTGGGGCCTACACCCCCCGGTGAAGGCACCTGCTTTACCTTGCAGGAAGTCTTCTCTCCTAGGAACGGAGGCAGCGTGACTGTGGGCAGGACACAGGCCCCGGGGCAGGGTTCTCTCTAAGCTCTAATCCTGGTCCTCCCCAGCTGTGACTATGGCGAAGTCACTTAGTTTCTGTGCCTTGATTTCTCCATCTGAAAAACATGAACAACAACGCACAGCACCAATGATTGCACCAGCTCATTAGGAACCAGTGTGAAGAGAGCATGCCCTTTGCAGTGGTCAGCAGGGACCCTCAGCTTCCTCCAGCATCAAAGGCCTTCTCTCCTACCCATGGAAGAAGTTCCCCTGGAGAATTCTTTTCCTGGACTTGGAACCTACTCTCTCGGCTCTGAAAAAGGGTCTCCCAGGCCTTGCGCGGTTGGTCCTGTCTGGACCAGCCTGTCTGGGAAGGCTTGCTCCTGCCAGCTAAGTCACCTGGGTGGGCTCATTCCCTCAGGGCTTCCCGCTCCTGTGGCTTATGGGATGAAATCTCTCCAGGCTGTTCTAGACCACAGCCTCGTCAAGAGCGCAGGTCAAGTGCACCAAGTCTGGCGACGCTCAGAGACGACGCAGAGGAACGCACAGGACACTGCACTTAACCAGCAGCATAACACTAGAACAGGACATCAACGTTCCTTGAAACTTCTCATTTGAACAACAGGCAACGAGATAGTTGAGTGAAGAGACAGAGGCATCAGGATCGTCTTCCCCAGAATCCAGCAGCCCTCCCTGCTCCTGGGAAGCAGGTCTTGTCTGCTTCTGCTGGCCCCCAGGAACGGAGCATAACTGGGGGTTACTATTCTGTGACAGGCTGTGTAACTATAAGACTATCACATGTCTTGATAGACATTCAGGTCGCTTCCTGTGTTTTCTGAACGAATTCTGCCCTGTGGACATCCCTGCTGGTATGTCCTCCTCCGCACAGGCCTCAGGCTTCTCAGCCTTTAAACCTGAACAGAACTGGACAAGCGGCCCCGTGGCGTGAGCTGGTGCCTCCGCCTGGTGGCAGGTGCACGCCGGACAGTCCCCAAGTCTGACCCACCTACTGCCCTTGCTACCATTTCTCTCTCCTCTTCTGGGAGCGACTGACTGTGCCCATTGCCTTTTTGACACATTGATATTTAACTATTTCCAATTGCCCTTTTCCATTCAGATGGCACGCTGCAAACGCTCCAGCTGTCTCCAGAGAAAACAGGGTGACACAGGAGTAGTAGACCTTTCCCACATTCTCCTGTGTCCCAGGCTGAGCCTTCCATGACCTGAGGAGAAGGAGGGTGGCTAGAGCTGGAATCCGAAACTAAGACACATCCGCCAGTAGTCATGTGTTTTGGCCGCTGTAAGGAGTCCTTGAGTGTCAGAACGAAGGATGGAGAATGCAGGAATGGAGCTAAACCATGTCATAGGTTAGAAGGAAAACAGGAAGTGAGTGGGCAGTTTTAATCCGTGGGAGGGAGGGCTGCACTCACCTGGCTGGGAGAAGGGAGGGACCCTTCAGGAGAGCTGAGGCAGGAGGCGGACGCATTCCCATGGCTGGGCTGGGCATCTGTGGAGGCTCCAAGCCCTGGACAGCAGCCGCCTGCCTCCCTGCACAGCCTTCAATCTGAGGAGGCTGTCGGTGGGCCTCTTGCTGTGGGCAGGGGCAGGTCACCAAGGGCTGCCTGGACGTGGCCTGTGCACCGTCCATCCTGGGAGAGCTCTGTGCTGAGCTCCACCCACAATCTGTGTGGACCTTCCCATCCTGTAGCAGTTCTGACTGGGTGAGCCTCTCCCACAGGTGGGCCTGCTCCCTGTGCACACACTCGGGGACCAGCCTCTCCCACAGGTGGGCCTGCTCCCTGTGCACACACCTGGGGGACCAGCCTCTCCCACAGGTGGGACTGCTCCCTGTGCACACACTCGGGGACCAGCCTCTCCCACAGGTGGGACTGCTCCCTGTGCACACACCGGGGGCCCAGGCGACGGGAGGAACCTGAAGGGCTGCGCCCGCTCAGAGCACCAGTCCTGGGCAGTCGGCTCTGACCCAGAGCCGTGCCGAGCCACCTACCTCAGGCTGTCAACACAAGCTTCCACTCAGCCTGGAGCGAGGGCGTTCCTTCCAGGGGAGCCCTTCCTTCCAAGAGAGGCATGGGCGGGGACAGGGTTAACGTGATGCGCTGCCGAAGGTCCCTTTGAAACTGTCTAATTTTAAAGTCTCTCGATTAAAACAGAAATTCGGGGCAACATTTTCCTGGCCGGCTTGCTTTCCTTACACGTGAAAAGTGTGGACTCTTCTGAGAAGGTACTTTACATTGATTCAAAATACTCCCTCTCAACAACAAATGCCAGTTTCCGTAATTCTGAATTTTTTTATCTTCACTATAATAAAAAGGTCAGTATACTGTATCTACCTTCTGCCACTGCTCCTACTGAAATTACTTCCCCAAAGGTGCCCAAACCCCAAACCCAGGCGCGCTTTCTCCCTGCGGCCCCTGACGTGTCCGGTCTCTCTCTGCTCCTGAGCCCCGTCTCCTGTGGGGGTGCAAGTTACCTCCTCATTTTCAAGCTGCTCTTCCTACCCCCAAGTCCAGATGCTCCCAGAATTCTGTTCCCGAGTCTCTGCTTTCATTCTTGGTGACTCTGTTCATTGCATGAACTTCACTTTCACCTCGAACTAAACAACTCATCAGCTTTGCCTCCGAGCTTGATTTTTCATCAAATCTTTTCCCCGTTTCTGGCATCTGCCTCGTCTCCCTGCCCAGCACCAGGGATGCCTTATGGTTGCTTCCCTCCTGCCACCAGCCAGCTCTGACTCCCACTTCCACCAGGGCCACCAACCCTCCGTCACCTTTCCTCCAGCAGAAAGTCGCCCTGGCCCTGCTCTTCCCTCTTCCCGTGTGCAGCCAGGTGCCGGGTCACAGACTTTCTGTCTCAGCTCTGCAGTGACTCACACTCTCCTCACACCTTCCTCTTGGTCCCACTGGAGCTGCCGGAGTCTGGGCAGCCCATCTCAGCACCCGCTCCCCAATCAGATGTGGCCGGATCTGTGCCTGCGTCTCCACTAGAGTCTAAGCCATCCTGTGCCCCCTGATGTTTTTCACTGCAGGATTTTTTTCTTTATTTGTAAACCTTATACAGAAACCCAACGTATAAGATGGAGGAAGCTCAGACACTCGGATGAAGCGGGTGAGGGGTGGGACCCTGGCAACTTGGTTTTCACTCATTCCCCTCGGCCACTGCACTTCTGGAAACACTGGCTCCACAGGGCTCAGCATCCTGGGGGGCGGGCTCCCTCCCTGCCTGGGGGGCCCTTTTCCGCCTGCGTGGTCATCAGCTCAGCCAGCACCAGGTCTTGGACCTTAGGCCTGAGCTTTATTTACCTGGGATGGTACTTCACCCAGGAAAGGCCCCCATGGTACTTACTGAGTTGAAACCAACATAAAACCAGCACCTGTAAGAAACGTCTAGACCAGCGGTTCTCAACCTGTGGGTCACGACCCCCTTGGTGGTCGAACGACCCTTTCACAGGGGTCGCCTAAGACCATCCTGCATATCAGATATTTACATGATGATTCATAACAGTAGCAACATGACAGTTATGAAGTAGCAACAAAAATAATGTTATGGTTGGGTTACAACATGAGGAACTGTATTTAAGGGGCCAGAAGGTTGAGAACCACTGGTCTAGACAGATTTCTCTCTAACGCCCACCAGTGTGATTGTTCTCGGCGAAACAGACATGCCCCCTGGTCCCGAGAGTGTGGCAGTGCTCAGGCCTCCTGGTGAACTAAGCTAGGAGGCTGTGACAGATGCCACACTCACCTACTGCCATCAGCACATATTTACATACATTTGCATAGAACATTCAGGTCACCCCCGCCTCCCAAACCTGCATGCTGGATGAATTTTTTAAGAAGGTAGTGTGACCTGTGGCAATTATATTCAAACCCAATATTCAGAACAAGATACATGAAGCAAAACAAAAATCTAAACCAATCAATGACACGCCTGATTAGATAAAGACAGGAGAGCTGCAGCGAGAAACAAAACCAGGCTCCTCGCTGCCTTAAAGCGGCAGCGCCCACACCGAGACCTGCTCCTCGAGGACCACTCCCCCGCCTCAGCCAACACTCACTGGGCCTGTCAGGCATCTATGGTCTGGCTCCGGCTTCATCATTATAAGGTGGCAGGTCCCACTGCCCCCTGCACACGGCCTCTGTGGATTGAATAAGCCCTGGCTGGGCTCCCTGCATGAGAGCTGGGCCAGGCGTGCTTCCCTCCGACCAGGGCTGCGCAGGGCTCTGCGTGGGGTCTGGGGGTCTGCGTCTCATGGATGGAGGAGCGGGGGAGGGGCTCAGAGGGCCAGGCTTCAGGCCCAGGACCAGGGAGCAGACGGCAGGAGGTGGGGGCGGTGGAGACAGGCGGGGGCAGCCCATGGGAGTGGCCCTGACCAGTGGAGTTCCCTCCACCCACTAAGTCTCCGTGTCTTAGTGACAAAGCAGCTTCTCCCCCTCACTGGAGGTCAGCTTCTCCCCTGCTGTCAGCTGCCAACATTGTACTTTTCATTACCAGCTCCAATCAACTGCATGTCTATAAAACCCAACAGAACGACCCGTTAGCTTTCTGAGTCAATGTTAATTTTTCATAATTCTGGAGACTGGCATGTTGCCATCACTAGCTCCGGGGCACTGGGACCTCAGGGTTATCTGTGTCTCTGATGCCATAGCAGTCGGGACAGTGAGGTGAAGCAAGGGCAACGTGCTTGAAGCAGGGACCTGGGAGACACACTCAGGACAGAGTCACGTGGAAGAAGGCGAGGACGCCAGCCAGAGGTCACGCGACACCACGTGGGAGGAGGCTCTGGCCCTGACTCAATGGGCCCCGATCCCTGGCCAGGAGACCAGTTCCCAACGGACTCTGGCACCAGATCTGTTTGCAGAGCTACTGACTGAAGAACACTTGTGCACCAGGAGACAATTAGCTTCAGGATGTGAAGGTGACATGAGGAATTAGCATTTTTTAAAATTCTAGGATTCATCCTGCTAAAAACATTGACTTGAGTCACCATGTTCTCACAGATGACGTGCAGCAGGGACTCTGAGGTCACCCCCTGAAGATGACTCACTGTCTCGGCTGTCTGTCCCCGGTTCAGAACATTCTGAAGGGCCGGGTGATG